CTCACCTCAAACACAGAAATCAGCCTACCTCTGTCTCCGAACTGCTGGGATTAAAGATGAGGGTTCAGCCTTCTATTACGCTTTAAGCAGTATATTTTGCTTAATATTTCTAAAAGTTTTAACTTTGCTTGTTTTTTTCAGGACAGGGTCTCCCTGTAGTCCCATCTGGCCTGGCACTCGCTGTATAGCCCAGACTGGCCTTGATCTCACAGAGATCCACCTGCCCCCCCTGCCTCCTGAGTGCTAAAACAAAAGGCATGTGCCACCACAGCCATCATCTAAAAGCTTTTAATTTTTATTCACCACTAAACATGCTATTTTGGTTCACATATTTTTCACTGAAAATATTTTTCCTTTTTTTTGGTCCCATGTTGTTCACCCACCAACACCACACACACCTTTATTCTTTGACTTTATCTTATTAGGGTTTTTTTTGTTGCTGTAGGTTGTGGTGGATTTTGCTTTACAGAAACTCATGCTTTTACTTTTAAACATATATTTGTTTTAAATGTTGTGTTGCATGCATGATGCATGTGTTCATGAACATGTATACTTTTACCTTTATTGGGTTTCCAGGACTGAACTCAGGTTGTGACACTTATATGGCAAGTGCCACTGCCAACTGAACCATCTCACCACTTCACTTTTATTCCCCTTTTGACATTTATTGACCGGGAAATCTTTTGTTGGTTTTATGCTTCCTAATCTTGCCCCTTCTCTCACCTTCCATTACCACTTTCTTTTTCCCTTTACTTATTAGCCTTCTTTATTTTTCGACATTTACTCTAAATAATTTTTAATCTCATTTGCACACTCTACATTAGTTTTCCATTTTCTGATTGAGAGTCACTACTAAAGTACTGGTGGACTTCAAATAGTTGAAGTGTATTTCTATTTTTTACGGTCTGATGTTGCTGCTGTTATAATATTTTGTTTCCTCACAAAGTGGTCCTTGGGAGTGAGCCCTCAAGAGTGGGCTGCTCAGTAAGATCCCCAAACAAAACTACAAGAAATGTCCAAAGCAACAGTGTACAAACTGCATCACAGAAACACAAGAAATATGAGAAAGCAAGGCAACATGACTCCTCCAAACTACTGAATTCAAAGATATTGAACCAGAGTCAGGGATGGTGGTACATGTGTTTAATCCCAGCACTCAGGAGGCAGAAGCAGGCATATCTCTGAATTTGAGACCAGCCTAGTCTACATAGTGAGTTACAGGCTAGCTAGAGATATACAGTGAGACCCTGTCTCAAAACAAACAAAGCAAACAAAACAAAACCCAAAACCCCTAGGTAAAATACTGGATAAACATTTCAAAAGTTGGGCTAGACAGATGGCCCAGCAGTTAAGAGCACTTCCAGCTCTTGCAGAAGATTTGGGTCCAATTCCCAGCAGCCACATGACAGCTCAAAACCATACCTGTAATTCCAGTTCCAGGTATCTGATGCCCACTTCTGTCCTCCATGGGCACCAGGCATGCATGTGGTACATATACATACAAGTAAGCAACACTAATATACATAAAATAAAAATAAATCTTCAGGGGCTGGAGAGATGGCTCAGCAGTTAAGAACACTGGTTGCTTCAGAAGGCCCGGGTTTGAATCCCAGCACCCACATGGCAGCTAACAACTGTCTATAACTCCAGTTCCAGGGGATCTGACAGCCTCTTCTGACCTCTGCGGGCATTGCATGACATGGGTGCACTTACCTACATGCAGGCAATACACGCATACACATAAAATAAAAATAAAATTTTAAAAATAAAGAAATCTTCAAAAAAAGATTTCTAAAGTTTACTAGTAAATCAAATCGATAACTGCAAAGAAGATATAAATAAGCCAATAAATTCAATGCAGAACCTGGAGCAACACAGAGGAAATAGCAAAATGGATAATCAACAATAAGAATAAGAAAGGCACCAAGATGGAAGAAAAATACAGCAAGGAAACTGAGATTTAGATTTAAAAAAAAAACCAACTACAGGGGGCTGGAGAGACGGCTCAGCAGTCTAAGAGCACTGGCTGCTCATCTAGAGGACCATGGTGGGTGTGATGGCGCACACCTTTAGTCCCAGCAGAAGAGGGCAGAGGCAGGAAGATCTCCATGAGACTGAGATCAGCCTGGTCTACAGAGTGAGTTCCAGGTCATCTGAGGCTACAGGGAGACACTGTCTCAAAAAACAAACAAATATAAATAACAGAGTTAGCAGGAGTCTTCAAACAAGAGTAACATGATGATGGTACATGATTCTGACATCGTGTCAGACCAAATCAGATAAAGTGTTCCAAAACACTGGTGCACCAATGAGAATTGCAATACAGTACCCAAAACAAAGGCGCCACTCAAAAGAATTTGTGGAAGGAAAGAAGGTGGAGTACAAGAGAGAATTAACTAATTCTTAGTGTTATCCACAGAGATTCTAGTTTACTATGCATCTAGAAGAAGTGTTCCCTCTCCATCCTTTTAAATATTTTTAAATTCTCCAGGTCATCCTAAGAACATCAAGTTCTGGAACAATGACAAACTCCAGGGCTCTCAAAATTGTTCCAAATTTCATGTAGAACTTGCCAAAAGAAAGAACTTTTTGTAATTCACACTCACCATAACAAACTATCTTTTAAATGTATGTGTATGTGTACGCTTGCATGAGTTTTTGTGTACCACGTATGTGCAGATGCCCTTGGAAAGCAGAGAGAGTTCCATTTCCTGTAACTGGAGTTAAGGACAGTTAGCTGCCATGTGGATGCTGGGAACTGAACCTGGATCCTCCAAAAGAGCAGTAAGCTTGTAACTACTGAGCCATTTCTCCAGCCCCAATAAACTCTATATTAAATCAAGAGTATTTGACCCTACTTCAGGCAGCAAGTAAGCTTTCAGATCCAATGTTCCTAAACACAATTACACAATTAAAAAATATTTTGCTTCTTTAATTATCATGGACATGATACATATGTGTGGGTATACACACAAGCCATGGTGTGTGTGTGTGTGTGTGTGCGTATGTGTGTGTGTAAGGATAACTGTAGACTTGGTTCTCTCCTTCCATGTTGGTCCTAGGATTGAGCTCAGGTCTTTAGGCTTGCCTAATGAGCCATCTCACCAGTCCATGAATACACAATTTAAATGAACTATTCATAAACTTATTTAAACCCATTGATTTCTTTTACTAGGCATGAGTCTATGTGTCCATATGGAGCCCAAAAGATAACCTCAGCTGTCATCCTCAAGAATGCAGTCCACTTCCTTTGAGATGGAGGTCTCTCAATGGCCTGGAGCTCATTAATTAGGCTAAACTAGCCAAAGAGTCCCAGGGATGCTCCTATCTCGGTCTCCCGGTGTTGGGATTACAAATGAGAATTACCAAACCCAGCATTTTGCAGACTGAGCTACCTCCCCAGACCCTAATGTTGCTCTTGAGATTTCTTTAACTTTCCTACATATATGTAAATAAATTTGCTCCTCAGAGAGATGACAAAATATCAAGAAATTCCATCTTTAGTCACTTACTGTGGCAACTCTAAGCCTGGTAGGTCCCATATACTGTACAAAGCCGCACAAAGCTTACTAACAAGCAGCCGTGACTTTGGCCTGAAACTCCTATTTCTACTATTCTAGTCTTCTGTCTCAAATATTCCTGCTAGACTAATACCTAACATCTAGAGAAAAAAGCAGAGCCCATCATTCTTCTAGTCTCTTCCCTCAGATTTACACCCACATATGGGACTATACAGTTACCAATCTAATGGTGACAAGATTTAAGAATGGTAAATTCTAAATAAATTCATAGGATGAAAAGCAGTACTTCCCCACACCGATCATTCCATTGCCTCATTTCAATGAACACTACCTGCCTCTGCCACTAAACTACCCTGGCCTCTCCAAGCTCATTCTTACTATTATCAGCCACAAAGGGAGAGAAAGGCTGAGAATATACTCCACAATTAAAAACATAAGCATAGACATCAGCATCATCTCTGATAGCTGCTTGATGTTGGGCAACCACTTAAGTACACCTAGACTCAAGCTTCTCCTCTAACACCCTCGGGGGTTATGAGGATTTTGTGATGGCATCTATGGAGTACACAGCATAAACTTACTGCTTAGTAATTGTTGAATTACAGAAATAATCTAAAGAAAAAGGGACCCTAAAAGAAATTCTAGATGTCTGATGGAGGACTTTTATCCATTAACAATATTTTGACACCTTAGAATCATGAACTACTTATATCCTTGAAGTCAAAATTGTTCTCAATTTAAAAAATGCATACAGGAGGCTGGAGAGATGGCTCAGAAGTTAAGAACACTGACTACTCTTGCAGAAGACTGGAGTTTAAATCCCAGCACCCACATGGCTGCTAACAGCTGTCCGGAACTCCAGTTCCAGGGAATCTGACAGTCACTTCTATTCTCCGCGGGCATTACATGACACGGGTGCACTTACCTACATACAAGCAATATACGCATACACATAAAATAAAAATAATAAAATATTTTTTAAAATGCATACAGTTAAGTGTGTAGACAAGAACACTGGCTTAACTTTATTTTAAAGGAATTCCTAATCTTTTTTTTTGGAGAATGAAATCTTATGAAGTAAAACAGTTGAACTAGGCAAGCCTGGAAACCCTCACTGGTTCCTCAAGGCATTCTTTGAAATACATAGCTTGAATCGCCTGGAAAATCAACCTCCAAATATAGGCTACTCTAAGATATTTTATATCAAAATGTCATAATTCTTCCTCTCTAGTATCACTTTAAAACAAGAACTACTTATTTACCTTGTCTTTTTTTTTTTTTTTTTTTTTTTTTTTTTTATTTGAGACAGGGTCTCCCCATAGCCCCAGCTGTCCTGGAACTCACTATGTAGATCAGGCTGGCCTTGAACTCACAAAGATCCACCTGCCTCTACCTCCTGCGCCACCATGTCCGGCTACTTACCTTGTCTTTAATGAAACAACTAGGAAACAAATAACTTTAAAAGACACTACTACTTACCAACTATACATAAACAGATTTCATTTCCCAGCATTTTCCGTAATTCTTTGACCCAGTTTTTTACCTGTATATACAAAAGAGTATTACAACAAATCCTGTTGGAATTACTATAATACCTAAAACTTATAGAGCAATGGAATAATGCACCTCTAATAACAAATTTTTTAAAACGGTCCATACATCCAAGCAATGCTATTTGCCAAAACAAAAAGTTTGTTAACTCCAGTCTCTAATATTAAATGCTTGTAACAGTGTCACTTTGAACTTAGGAAGGTATGAACATTATCTTTAGTATCCTAATTCATTCCTAACAAGGAGACTACTATACCATAGGCATCCTCCTGGATATTTACTGGGGAAAAGAGCCTGGATTTCAGTTTGTTCTTCCTTTTAAATATTTTATTTTTATTTTATGTGTACGAGTGTATTCCCTGCATGTAGGTAAGTGCACCCATGTCATGCAATGTCCATGGAGGTCAGATCCCCCAGAACTGGAGTTACAGACAGTTGTTAGCTCCCATGTGGGTGCTGGGATTCGAACCTGGGTCTTCTGCCAGAACAGCCAGTGTTCTTAACCGCTGAGCCATCTCATCTCTCCAGCCCCTGTTATTTTTATTTATGAGTGAGAAAGTCCCTTATTTTTCTGAAAATTATTTTCAATTATTTTCTCTTTTCTAATATTTGAGAAAGTCATATAATAAACCATTAATTACTCCAATATGAATTAATATGTATTAAAATGTTTTGATAAATGGTCACCATTTAAGCTCAGACTGTATGCTTTACTTTTAAAAACATAATCAGTGAACAAAAGCATATTAATGGAAGCTTAAAAAAAAAAAAAAAAAAAAAAACCACCTCAGTGTTGTTCTTCTAATTAAGTCATTTACCCAAAAAAGTAAGCAGAATACCTTTTGAAAAGAATCTTCATCCGTTATATCATAAACTAAAATAGCTCCATTTGAATCTCTGTAGTAAATTGGCCCCAATGCATGGAATCTCTCTTGGCCTGCTGTATCCTAAATAAAGCAACATGCTATTAGATCAAAAGGGGAAAAGAATATGACTACTGTCCTAACTATAGTGAACTTTTAATTAATTGGAATAGTGCATGAAGACACAGATAACTCCAAATCAGTATTAAAAGAAATAAATTAAAGAAAAACGAAAATGTTTAAGCAATATGTAATATTTTACTATTATACCAAAATTAATTCTTCCTCTTTAACAAGTTCCTACCCTGACTAAAAGAACAGTTCAGTTACCAGATGGTTAAAGTGGCCGAGAAGATCCTAAACTGAGGATCCTTATACATGCAGAAGAGGCAGAGGATGCTATGCATCAGGACTACTTGCTAGCACATGCCCTGCTGCATCACCTTTTTGGACTCTCCAATGATTACTCCCTTAGAGTGCTGGCACACAGGGAAAAGGGGCTACAGACAGGTGGCCCCATTTACCCTATTCTCTTTGAAACGCTGACCCTTCTGAAGCTAAAAAGTTGTAACAGCAATATTCAAATATAAAATTATATTCCAAATAGAATTCCTAACCATATTTTAGGAATTTTTGTTGTTGCTGGGGTTTTTTGTTGTTTTTTATGTGTGTGCGTGTATTGCCTGCATGTAGGTAAGTGTACCCATGTTGTGCAATGCCCGCAGAGGTCAGAAGAGGCTGTCAGATCCCCTGGGACTGGAGTTACAGACAGTTGTTAGCTGCCATGTGGGTGCTGGGATTCGAACCCGGGTCTACTGCAAGAATCATCAGTGTTCTTAACCGCTGAGCCATCTCTCCAGTCCTGTTGTTGCTGTCTTGAGAGAGGGTCTCCTTGTATCCCTAGTGGGACTGGAACTCACTATGTAGATCAGGCTGGCCTCAACCTCAGAGATCCTCCTGCCTGTCTCCTGAGTGATGGTATTAAAGACATGTGCCACCATGCCCAACCTAGTAATTTTTTAATTAAGAAAATAGTTTTGGCTAACAAATTAATTTTTTTAAACAAAGTCTGAAATTAAAATTCCCATTCCTCAAATCAATTAGATTAGAATATTTCTGAAAAGGTTTACTTACCCAAATGGCAAGGTTTACTCTCTTCCCACCAATATTTAACTTCTTTGTTAAGAAAGATGCCTAAGTAAAAAGAAATATGTGTTAAACAATGCTTCATGTAAAATAGCATCCTTAATCCCAACTATACATGACTGAATCATCTCAATGTCAAACTTAGGTTTTCTGAAAAAGTACTGATTTTTAAATTTATAACCAAATATTATTTTCATTAAAGACAGAATATTATTCTAAGAAAAGCCTAAATTGTTTTTTTTTTAAGTAAGTTACTAAAAATATAAGAAAAGTGAAGAATACAGCTCAGTGGTAGACAGAACTGAATTAAAAAAAAAAAAATACATGGGGCTCAGGGAAATGGCTCAGTGGGTAAAGTGCTTGCTTCCCATGCAAGTGTAAGGATCTGGGTTAATACGCCCAGAACCCACAAATAAATGTCCAGAAGTGGGCTTTAGAGATGACTTGGTAGTTAAGAGCAAGCACTGGCTGCTCTTACAGAGGACCCACGTTCAGTCCTCAGAACCCACATGGTACAACCATCTGTAACTCCAGTTCCAGGGAATGTGATGCTCTCTTCTGGCCTCCAAGGGCACTGCATACATGTGGTACACTTACATACAAGCAAAACAATCATACACATAAAATTAAAATAATTTTTTAAAATGTATTTAATGCCCGGAAGCAATAGCATGTGTGTCTGTAATCTCAGCACAGCCAGGGGAATATGGCAAGTGGAGACAGGAAAACCTAAAACTCTGGGCTAGTTAACCTGGCCTATGCAGCACGAAGCAACAAAGACCATCTCAAAACGGTGGAAGGTGAAAACTGATACCTGAGCACATATACTGTGTTACACACACAACACACACACACATATATACACACATTAAAAAAACACACACACACAAAAATGGTACTTGCTTTTTCTTAGTTTTTCCCTTTCTATACTATATGTGCAAGAAAATTTTTCCTTTGATATAACCTTATTTACCAACAGAAAAAAATGAGACTCCTAGGATGCCCAGTATTGCTCAAAATGGATCTGTATCTATATAATTCAATTGTTTAACATGTATCCGTGTCACAGAAACCAAAGGACACAGTCCCAGTCTTCAAGGGGAGGTTACAGTTTACTGGAGAATTTAAAATGTAAAGAGAATACAACTTCATGTGATAATGGTGTATCTGGAAATGGTACATACTGCTTTCAGAATATGCACAATACTCAGGAGAGCACGAAGATTCTGCCCAAAGGAAAGCTGACACCTGCATTTGCACAGCATTCCCCCAAATCATTTGCCCTCTATACAGAACTAAACACCTTCTTCCCTAGAGAAATACCTAAATCATCCTAAGAAGTAACTGCTAAGTAACAGTACTGTAGAGACAATGGAGAATTGCTAGCGTTTAAGCACTGGGAGGCTGATGCAGGAGGATTAGAAATTCAAGGTTAGCCAGGGCTATGTAGTAAGACCCTATCTCAAACAAAACAAAACAAACAAAACAAGCCATTAAACAGGGAATATACTCGGAATCCAAATTAGTTGACTTTTTTTTATACATTTTACTATTTTTATTATGTGTATGCGTGTGGTGCCTGCATGTAGGTAAGTGCACCTGTGTTGTGTAATGCCTGAGGAGGACAGAAGAGGAAATTGGATCCCCCTGAAACTACTGAGTTACAGATAGTTATTAGCTGCCATATAGGTGCTGGGATTCAAACCCAGGTCTTCTGCAAGAACAGCCAGTGTTCTTAACCGCTGAGCCATCTCTCCAGCCCTAGTTGACATGTTTTAAAAAAGAAATAGAGAGCTGAGTTCAGAACTGTGTGGAAGAAGTCACATGTAAGTAATTCTATGAAGAGGACTGAATTACTAATAAAACAGAAGAAATGTGGTTTCCAGGGAGAACTTTTTGTTGTGGCACACTACAAAACTAAGAAAAGGCCATTGGATTTAGTGATTAAGATGTTCACACACAGGAATAAATGGCAGAGCTGGAATAAACTTAGGAATAACTGTCTTCAAGGCACAAGCTACACTGCTCCAGATAGTTTATTAAATGAAACACAGATTACACTAAAAAGGACAAAAATTAAATGGTAAAATAGCAAAAGAAATAATTTGAAAAATGAGAACACCATGCATCTCTTATAACAATAAATGCAAATAAAAGATTTCCCCCACTCTAAGGTAAAGAAGCTAACAAAGCGACTTTTGAATCTGAGCCTCGGCTTTGCTACTAGCTATTCAATTTATCTGAATTCAATCATTTTCAATATGGTTCTAGTATCAATGCTATGTAAAAGAAATTAAAATCAGAATCCTATCCAAATACTTAAAAGCTATTAAAATCAAATGATTCTTTTTCAAATATATCTAAGATTAAACTGATCTTCCCTCCAAAATTGGCTTTCTACTCTAGCTGCAGTAATTTCATCACATTCTCCAAGTCACCAAGGCTTAATTATCTTTGTCTGTGTTTTGTTTTTGCTTTAATGGTCTTTCTATGTTGCACAGGTTAGCACTGATTTCCTGGGCTCAACTCAGTCCCCTGCCTCAGCCTCCTAAGTAGCTGAGAATACAGGCTCACACAATTGCACCCAGCTGTCACTAAGGTTTAGAACTTTAGAAGCATCTTCTTCCACCCTGTCAGTCAATATCCCCCCGCCCCAAACCTCTCAAGTCTTGTCTTCACATTTCCTCTGAGGTTTTATGACCCCTGGGTTGACAGAAAGTCAAGTAAATATCTTTGGTCTCATCTCATTACATTGTCCTGCATGACAAGCTATCTTCCCAAGGCCTCCCTATACTACTCACACATTCCACACTGTACTGCTCTATACTAAACAATTTTAGGGAGCCTAATTTTGTAATATCCCAATATATACTGTCTTATAAGTTACCTTTTCACGGGTGTAAGAAGTCTATTAGAGCTGGGCATGGTAGCACAAGCCTTTAATCCTAGCACTCAGGAGGCAGAGGCAGGTGGATCTCTGAGTTCAAGGCCTACCTGGTCTATCTAGGAAGTTCCAGGCCAGCTGGGGCTACAAGGGTACCCTGCCTCAAAAAGAACTCCCCCCGCCAAAAAGCTATGGGTTAAAGTATGTGTTTGTTAGTCTTTCCACAGTTCTTAAATAAAATGGGCAGTATTCTAAGTTTTCCAAATATTAACTACTTTAATTCCCAAAACACTGAGTCAGAAATAATTATCCAACTATAACAGGTGTGGAAATCCAGACTACAGGAGAGTATCTTGCCTAAGGTCACACAACAGCTACCAGGACAGCATCTGAAATCTAGGCAGTCCAGGCATACCTTATCACCACTAGGCTTTGCTACCTCCTAGCCTGACATAAGAACTAACACTCCTCTAGTGCAGGGGTCATAGGACCCCTGCCCATAACATTCAAATATTGTTACTGTAGAAAAACTTATCTACTAATGTGCCCAGGTAAATCACTGGAAGGATAGTACAATTTATGTAAGAGATGTGCTCCTAAAAGTTTCCTTATGAATCTAGCTATTTTAAAAATTCCTATTTATTTTACTGCATGTGTACATGACACGGGGAGGGGGTTATGCCATGGTGTGAGTGCAGAGGTCAGAAGACAACTTTATGGAGTTGGTTCTCTCCTTCTAGATTTCCATGGGTTCTGGAGATTGAATTCAGGTTGCCAGGTTTGTACAGCAATCACCTTTAGCTACTTAGCCATCTTGCCAGTCCATGAACCAAACCATTTTAACTCAAATATGTGATGCACTTGTAAAGCAGTTATCAAAGTAATCTTTCTCCTTCATAATGGGTAAGTTCCATTTTGTGGAAAGGCTCCCTGTAATACAAAGCATCTCATTTTACATATATCTTACGTTTTTATTTTAATATTTTACACGTACTTTTTTCAAGAGTAAACACTATTTTAAAAAATATATAATTATGGGGCTGAAGAGATGGCTCAGCGGTTAAGAACACTCACTGACTTGCAGAAGACCTGGGTTCAAATCCCAGAACCCATATGGCAGCTAACAACTGTCCATAACTCTAGTCTAGGGGATCCTATCTGTCTCTTCTGTCCTCTGCGGGCAGTGCATGACACGGGTGCACTTACCTACGTGCAGTCAATACACGCATACACATTAAAAAAATATATTTTTTAAAAAATACATATACAGATCAATCAATCAATCTATCAATCATCTATCTATATAAGTAATTATGCCTCTATCTATCTATCTATCTATCTATCTATCTATCTATCTATCTATCTATCTATCTATCATCTATCTATATAAATAATTATGCCGGGCATGGTGGTACACACCTTTAGTCCCAGCACTGGGGAGGCAGAGGCAGGCAGATCACTGTAGGCCAGCCTGGTCTACATAGTGAGTTCTAGGCCAGCTGGGGCGTCCCTGTCTCAAAAAGACCAAAAAATAAAAGACACATGTATATATAAAATTATATTTGACATTTAAAAAATAGGTTTAATGTAACATCAGAACAGTAGCAAATCATCCAAAAGTTTGACGTTTCTCTGTTTAAATCAGTTCTTTAAAAGCATTCACTTAGGAGCTGGAGAGATGGCTTAGCAGTTAAGAGCACTGGCTGCTCTTGCTCAGGTTTGGTTCTAACACCCACATGGTGGTTAACTGGAACTCTAGTTCCAGGGGATACAACACCTTCTTCTGACCTCCACAGGCATCACGTGAAATGGGTACACTTAAACATATGCAGGCAAAACACTCAAACACATAAATTTTTTTTAAAGCACACACAGAATTTGACAGCTTACTAAAATACCTTTTGTTGTTATAAAATACCAGGGCAGTGGTTCTTAATTCTGTTATATGGTAGTAAAGGTGAAAGGGGAATATTCCTGAATTTAAGAATCTAAAGAAAGCCATGAACACGCCCAAGAAAATTGTTCATGTGCTTATCTGAAGACAATTTCAACTTTTCCAAGGAACTTACAAATTTCTGGTAATTCCTCAATAAAATACTACCACTACCACCTGCTAGAAAGGAGAAGTGGAATGTGACATTACACAATAGAAATTTGAAAGGTT